ACTTCGACGTCCGCGTCGGCACAGACCATGCTGCCTGGAGAGGAGTGCTGGATCATCATGATCTCGGCGGCTGCGATGTCTGTTGCTTGCTCCTTCTGCGGACCTACGAAGAGCACCGCTTCACCCTGACCAACACCTTCCGCCTGTCGAGGCGTAAAAATGCCACCTGGACGCACCCTCGATCGCTGCGCTGGCTGCTGCTGGAACAAGTTCTCGGTCGGTGGCGAGATCGGCAGAACGTAATGGTGACCATGGCGATCTGCGACGCCGATGGCTTGAAGAACCACCGCCTTGTTATATGCAAGATGAGGATCCACCTACTGCCATGCAAGAGACCTCAAGTTAAGCGACCACCAGGAAAGTTGTTTATCGCTCTGTTGTTTTTGTCTGCTCACCATCTTCATTTCAACAATGAGCTAGCTCAGCGACTGGCCAAATTTACAGTCACCACCAGCATCAACGAAAACGCCTCCGCGGGGAATCGATGGTGTCAACCGAGGGACACAGCCCAGTTGACCACGCTGGCTGTCTTCGTCACGCACGCCGTCAGCAACAGGACTAGTTCGACAACAACGACACCGCCATCAGCAGCCTGTTCACTGAGAAGAACCGTCTGCACAAAGCCTACGTTAACCGCCCTACTGGCGAAAACGGAACAGCCTTCTACCTTAGTCACCGCATTGTGCAACAGCGACAGCGATAGATTCAGAACATCTGGACGGCTTGCAAGGCCGAGGAGATCCAAGGACCCGTGGACCGCATGAGGGCGCGCGTTACGGACAATGGGATCGTCTTAAAGGGATTCGCAGTGACAGACGAAATGAAACAGGGTTGCGTCCTCGCGACTACCCTCTTCAGTCTCATGTTCTCTGCCATGCTGATGGACGCCTATCGTGATGAGCGGCCCGGGATCCGCTTCGCCTACAGGACGGAGGGCTTATTCCTCAATCGGAGGTTGATGCGCTTCCAGTGGCGTGTATTCACAACTACAGTTCATGAACTTCTCTTCGTCGACGACTGCGCCCTCAACACCACCTCGTAAGGGGACATGAAAAGGAGTATGGATCGCTTCGCGCTGTCTATGACAACTTCGGTCTGGTCACCAACACACATAAGACGGTGGTTTTGCACCAACGGCCACCCAACGCTCAACCGCACCCAACATGCTCACTGTGTCAGCAGGCATTCCGACATATGTCGGTTTTACTAGACATCTTCAGAACAACTGCAGTACTCATTCGACACCGACTTATTCCTTGCCGTCCACCACGTCGCCAAATAACCCTAAGGATGCTCCTGTTCTCCCATCACTATCCTCAGTCGCCATCCCCCCTTCAAAATCTCCCGCGAAGACTCCTGACCCCACCACCAATGCAACCAGTCATGAGGCATTATGAGCCGTCAACCTCACCACCGCCAACACCAGTGATGTGGACTCGGTCTCAACCTATCCACACTGCCGCCGCCGCACCACCACCTCATGCATCAGCCTGGTCGGTCACCCGAGTATATGTCGCACGGAGCCAGAACCTACAGCACCCCAATACACACGCCGTATCCGCCCTCACTGTTCACATTGAGCACGCACATTAACCCACTGTATGGACCTAATCGGTCACATGCGCATTCATGAAAACCTACGGTGAACAATCGCTGGCCATACCACACCTTCACATCTTTCCCCAACCCCACCCATGACACACATCAACATCACCCATCGTCGCACTACGCAAGCACGCTCACGTAAACGGGAAGTGTACTGCTCGGCTCCTTCTCCCTGTGGCTTCCCTGTTGAATGTCCGATCCGAGCCTGAGACTATAACGGTGCGCCAGACGTCGTGGCTTGGAAGGTTGTCGACTGACGCCTCAACTCAATCCAAGCAGCCTATCCAGCGCGTGTGTGTTTGTGTGGAGTGGCGAACTGGTGGGCTGAGATTCAGGCTACAACGGCTCCTTCTTAACCTGACCCCTGGCACTCACGCATGTGATAAGCATACATCGCCTGACTTGTGGCATCCTTATGCTTCTGTTTGGGGGGTCAGGTTGTGAATATGACGCGCGCCTTTTCCCAACACCAGACAAGTGGCTGGAGACTTTGAATGGGAAGAGAGAGTGAGATCGACGACTCAGCGCATCTTCCTCACTATAAACGATCTGACGCGCTTGAAGCTGTCACGGTGCTCTAAAAGCTGTGGCCTAAAAAGTTGCCAACTGACGGGAAACTTAGAGGTCGCAGTCGGCCCAGTGTGTTTTGTGTGGAATGGCCGACTGGAGGTCTAAGAGTCAGACTGCACTGGCTTCTTTTAAATGTGGCCTTTATGGTACTCCTGCCTAGTAAGACCCAGAGTGGGTGTGACGATTCGCGTAGGGGCGGCTTTGGCCGTGCCGACCACCTGCATCTTCTCCCGTCTCCGGTATTCTTGACTATATCTTGACACCGGGCCCAGACAGGGGATGAGGAGAGAGTGCGGTATATGTAGCGTAAGTTTACATTCACTATAAACTAATCCACGCGTAAGTCATTGTGTCTGATTTCACCTTGATATGGAGCACACTGTGGATATCATCGGTCACGACGATCGAACTGTCGAGGAGAAACTACCAAGGACGCGTAAAGGTTCGGGACGGATGTGAACTATTGTCCGCATTGCATTATGGGCGTTATAAATGAGGTAGATGCAATGCCATTTGAATGGACACTACGTGGCCTTAAAATCACGTGATCAACAATTTTTCGAAGCCAAAAATTACCCTTTCCTCAAATAACAAATTTGAAGAAATCGTGATTTACTATCAGCTGTG